GGCAGGGGGGATGCCTGGAATGGCAGGAATGCCTGGGCTCAATGAAATTCTTAGTGATCCAGAGGTTCTCGCAGCCATGCAGGATCCAGAAGTTATGGTGGCCTTCCAGGATGTGGCCCAGAACCCAGCGAATATGTCAAAATATCAGAGCAATCCAAAGGTTATGAATCTCATCAGTAAATTGTCATCCAAATTTGGAGGTCAAGCATAATAATGCCCTTCTGACAAATAAAGCCCTTGCTGAAGGAAAAGCAACGATCACCTAATGGATGTCGCAATAATACAAACCAGTGTACCTCTGACCTTCTCATGAAGAAAGCTGGGGTGCTGTGAAGAGAATCCCTACCCCTCTGCCCCACATGCAACTGAAACATTCTATAGTGGTTTGCCATTAGGGTAGTCATTCAGATAATGTTTTCCTACTAGGAATTACAAACTTTAAACACTTTTAAACCTTAAAAATATTTAAAAATATATTAAAAGGGTGTGTTAGTCCCTACATTTTTCTTTACTAATCATTTCAGTTTTTTTCCTTTGGATTAATTGGGCAAGAAAGATACTTCAGTGTGGAAGATTTATTGCTCAGTTTGAGTGAAATAAAGGTCTATTAGTGGGAGGCAAATATAACATTTAAATAGATGAAGTTTGAGTTGGAGATATGGTTTCTGAGGCATTTTGACTTGCCTTCTTAAATGCTTTATTTTTTAAACACAATTTATTTGGATAAAACCATTGGGACCACTAGTATTGCAGTAGGACCTGGGTAGGGACCGGAAGTGCTTGGCAGGGCAGCAGCAACCTTACTCCTTTTATATAGTGTGCACCCTTGTGCAGATGCATTTAAATCTTACACTGTGGTGAAGGGATGATTTTTATAATGCTGCAGAATTGGATTACTTAGCTGTGTTCTTGTCTGATATAGAAAATAAATGTTTGCATTATTTCCACAAAAAAAAAAAGTGTAGTTGCAGGTTTCTGCAGGTTATTTCATAGATATGGTATCTAAAAAGTTAAAGACCATGGCTTTTACTATTTTCATGAATTAGGGAACAAAGTCATTAGACAAGTGCATGTGTAAGAGGTACAGGGTGATATTGGGAACACACAAAGATTTGAAGAGATGTGGGAAAGGTGACTATATCCTTACACAGAATTGCTTTGCAGCATCATGAACCCAGCAAACACCAAAATGTGTGCTCATACACTAAGCACCTACAATGTGTGATACGCTTAGACACGAAATTGCAAGGTTATGTGACTGTCCTCAGTAGTGCAGCACTATATAACCAATATTCAAAGAGAATATTAACCATTTACTCAAAAAATTTATTGAGCACCTACTACGTAAGTAATAATCTAAAGACTTCCTTAGGCTCAGGTCATGGTCCGAGAGTCCTGGGATCGAGCCCCGCATCGGGCTCCCTGCTCAGCGGGAAGCCTGCTTCTTCCTCTCCCACTCCCCCTGCTTGTGTTCCCTCTCTCCCTGTCAAATAAATAAAATCTTAAAAAAAAAAAAAAAAGGAACTCAGTGAAGGGGAACTTGAGATGTCAGTGGGTTAAAGGCAGAGGGACAAAGATGTCTTGAGGACAAATGGAACAAACATTCATAAATGGCTCATTTCATTTTAGATAATGATTATCTCGAACTCCAGGTACAAATAATCTGGAAGAATGAATAGCACACTCAGTTCAGACAACTATTAGAAACTGCACCTTTGTGAAGAAGGAGGTTTCAGGAAGTTTCTATGCAGAAATCAGAGAGAGGAGAGTTCAATTACATGCAATAAATAGGACTTACGTGGGCATAACAAAAAGGTCATTGAGGGAAGCAACGTTTTACCACTGGGGAAAATGGAAAAATTGAGATATTTACAGGAAGACGACCAAGGAAAACAAAGGTGTGAGGTATAGACGATTTCTATAAACATTTTAAGCTAGCCTTGGTGAACAGTAAGAAATTTGTGGTTTTTAAAAGTAAGCTCCATGCCCAACATGGGGCTTGAACTCATGACCCTAAAATCAAGAGTTGCATGCTCAACCGTCTGACCCAGCCAGGGGCCTGGAGAAATTCTTAACTTGACCAACTCAGTAGCAGTCAGAACCAATTATAGTTCCTATAGATCCTACTACCCCACATCATCAGAACAATAGTAATGAGGAAACGGTGGCAGCCTCGGGTAATGCAGGAATAGAGCCTTGGGGCACTTCTGAAGAGATGTAAAGTCCAAAACCACAGCTCTAGTCAGTTAGTTACTTAATCTCTACACCTAAGGTGGGGCTTGAACTCACAACCCCAAGATCAAGACCCTACCCTGTCAGCCAAATGCCCCTGGCCATTTTAATACTAAACATCAAAATCATTCCAATTCATATAGGAAATGTATATCCCGGGAGCACCTGGGTGGCTCAGTCGTTCAGCGTCTGCCTTTGGCTTGGGTTATGATCCCGGGGTCCTGGGATCGAACCCCACATCAGGCTCCCTGCTCGGCGGGGAGCCTGCTTCTCCCTCTCCCTGCCGCTCACCCTACTTGTGCTGTCAAATAAATAATATCTTAAAAATAAATGTATATTCCGAATGTGGTACTCAAGAACCTTTACGTTAGCCTCAAATTACTGTATCCCCTTCTCTCCAACTTTCATTCACATAACTCCCTGTACTGTTAGATTTTCCAGTCTTTCTCCAAACACTTTTCAATTTGTCCAAATCCTAACAATCCTTGAAGACCTAGTTCAAATGTCCACCTTTTCCCTGACACAATGCAGGTGGAATTACCTTTCTCCAAACTTAACTTCCACTGGGGGCATTTTCGGTTTCTTACATTAGCATCGATCCTTCTTAGACTCTAAGACCAAGTTTTGGTTTGGTTTTTACCTCTCAATGTCTTACTAGATCCTCAATAAACATTTCCTAAAGGAAAATCTTGCAGATGCGGTGTGGATCAAACCATGAGTAAAAAAAGTTTAAATTCCTAATCTTTTTGCTCTTTGCAAAGTGCTTAAGAGGACTGGCATCACCTAACTTCTCAAATGATCATCCAGGGGCGCCTGGGTGGCTCAGTTGGTTAAGTGACTGCCTTCGGCTCAGGTCATGATCCTGGAGTCCCGGGATCGAGTCCCGCGTCGGGCTCCCTGCTCGGCAGGGAATCTGCTTCTCCCTCTGACCCTCCCCCACCATGTGCTCTCTCTCTCAAATAAATAAATAAAATCTTTAAAAAAAAAAAAAAAAAAAAATCAAATGATCATCCAGTAACAGTAATTCATAACACCAGTTCCTCTTGAGTTCTGTTTTGACCAAAGGGTTCTTCTTGCTAACTAGTCCCTATACTGCCCACCCCCACCCAACAGTTAACTTTTAAAAATCAAACTATGTATTACTCACCAGCTCAGTCTTTGAATGACTTCCACTGGAATAAGATTCAAATCACAGTCCAGTGTGATCTGCTCCATCTAACCTGTCCAATCTCCTCATATTACACACATAACCCCTCCCATCCACTCTTACTTCATTTTTCTGTTCTTCCAAAAAAAAAGGCTATGCTCTCCGGCTATGCACCTAACTAACCCTTCAGTCTGGCATATGGTTACCCAGCAAGACTTTTTGCAAGGGTTGGCTTCTTAAATCCTCAGCGCCAAGGTCCCTTTTCAGATGCATTTCCTAAATAAAAATTTTTAGTAACCGCCTGCCCCCACTCCACCCCTGTAATCTCCACTGGTGTGACAAGGCTAAGTTCCTTTACATATAGTAACTACTTCTCACAAGCCTAGGAAGTTTGTAATTACATCATTTTAGAGAAATAACTTAAGCGGGCGCCTGGGTGGCTCAGATGGTTAAGCGTCTGCCTTCGGCTCAGGTCATGATCCCAGGGTCCTGGGATCGAGTCCCGCATCAGGCTCCCTGCTCCTTGGGAGCCTGCTTCTCCCTCTGTTTCTCTCTCTCTCTGTCTATCATGAATAAATAAATAAAATCTTAAAAAAAAAAGAAATAACTTAAGGTCATAAAACTAGTAAATAAATGGACAAGAATTTGACTGCAGGATCCCAGCTTATGCTTAATCTAAACCACTATGCTACATCTGGTTCATTCCACCTGTTCAACCTCAACACTTGATCACATACCCCATATATCCACAGCCTAAACAACCTCATTTACTTCTTTCTCCCAAGAGACATTTCCATTTTTAATAAAAATAACTGCCTTTCTTTTCCACACCAAAAACTGCTCAGGACAGCTCAATACAAACTGTTCTGAATACACTTAATAAAATGGGCTCAGGCAAGTATCATAAATAATAAATGAAAGATTTTATTCATCTTTATAAATAACAGGTGCTCAAATATTAATGGTTAACCATAATCAGAGGACAAAGAGGCTTACTTTTAATAATGCAGAAGCAAAAATCCTTCAACTTTTAGATGAAAACACAAACTGAAAACTGCTTCAGCTATGAAAATAAAACACCATCTCTCAAATGGTAGTTTTAGCTTTCTTAAAGCCTAGCAAACACTGCCCCCGCCCCCCCACTACCTCAAAGAGAAACAAATCTTCAGTGCCTTTTGGAGTTTGTCTTAGTGTATGGCTATACATTAAAGAACATCTCTTCCTCCAAAACCCTAAGAACAGACTAAAATTCAACACTGGTAAACACCGTAATTGTGGTCATCCACTTCGTTTTTCTCTTTCCTTAGCTTTCAGGTGATACATCATAGTGAGAAAATACACTACTAATATTTGTGCAAAAAAATTTTATTTAATGGTGGGGGAGGGTAAATCTTAAGCAGGCTCCATGCCTAGTGTGGAGCCTGACTTGGGGCTTATTCTCACAACCCTGAGATCATGACCTGAGCCAAAATCAAGAGTCAGACACTTTACCAACTGAGCCACCCAGGTGCCCCGTAAGAAAATTTATGCTACTAGTCAAATTTTTTTGTTTAGCTAGATCATTTAACCATACAAAGGGACTAGTCCTTTATTCTCTCTTGCTTGTTCAGGTCCTCCTTACCATCATATATTCTGTGTATAACTTGCTTTTCCATTCCCCTCTTGCCAGTACAATGCTAGAGTGAAGCCTGTAGACTGTACTGAGAAGGTCCCCCTCTTTCCTACAACCCTTTGGGATCTTGAACAGCTTCACAAAATAATGCTCTCCTAGTTAGGAAGGAAATGGACATTATTACTCAGAAATAAATGACCTTCCCTGGTGTAGCAATTAAATGTTTTCACTTAAAGTTCCATTTACGATCTTATTATTAAATACAACATCCCAGGGAGAACAGGGGAGATTCCAAATTTCATCACCTTTTCTCTTAATTTAAAAAGCACTGCTTCCATGAAAATCAAATACCAGCTTCATAACATTTTACTATTAGACAATGATTCCTACAATATTCCAGAAAGAGGACAAGGTTGGTTCCACCACCACCACCCCCCGTTTCTTATCAGCTGTCTATTGTCAGTTTTAACTGGAGCTGAAAAACAGAAGGCTTCAAATAAACTGAAAAGTCATCACTGGGTTTTAAAATAGAAACATTTAAATAATTCTTCTTGAAGGTATTTTATCAGCCACTTACTTCTACTGAAAAAATCTTGAAATACAATTAGTGTTTAAAGCACCATACCAAATAAAAAGAAAGCAAACCAGACAAAGGAGTTAAGATACATTTCAATTTAATCATTGTGCACACAAATTTGTAAAAATGCTAGACACACATACATGAAGTCGCAAAGGAAATTCAAGAATTCTTGTTCATGTCTAAATTTTTAAACTATGGAAATTTGGCTACTTACTCTCACCACTATTACATGCATTTAGAGTTACATACTTACCACATTTTCAATGTCTGCTTATCCTTGCTAGGAAAGGACAGAGTTCCTTAGAAATTTACTTCACTTTAAAGACATAAATTGAGGGTCCATACTTTGTTTAGTGCTTATCTAGAAGAATACATCACCATTATCACATACTCAAAATATCAATTGTCAGATTTATTTTAGAAGACTATCATTTTCCATACTAAAATGCATTAGGAGCAGCTTCCTGTTCATTGTTGCTTTACAACATTACAGCAGGAAATACAATGTGAAAACATCCTTAGCTTATGTTGACATCAGCTAGGATGTGGCTAAAGACTAGAGAGAAAAAAATCCATGTCACTCTGAAGGAAAGTACTAAACAGGGCATAAAGTGATTAGAAATACACCCAGAGGTTAATTTCCACTGGTATACACAGTCCCAGAAACCGTATTTCTAACCTAAGTTTTCCATGCAAGGTTAGAAAGATTTAAAGATACACTTGAAATTTTCAAGCCTCATTCACAGAGAATCCTATAAGCAATAGTCTGCAGGAGCATTTCAGGTTAAGTCCTTCTTCAAGCCTACCCTCAGCTTTAATTACTCACGAATCACTGCAACAACAGATTCACAGAGAAGACATAAATTCTGATGTTTAAATTTTACACCTGTGCAGTGCGGGAACCAAAAGCATTGAGACAAAACTTTTGGTTGTCAGCTAAAAGGAAAATCTTAAGCTTAAAAACATTTTTTAAAAGCGCTAGTTTTGAGTAAAAACATTTTTTCTATCTTACCAAAAGAAAAAAAATTGCATGTTAAAAGGTTTTTCAGTTACTAAGTGGAAGTCAGAAAAATGATCTGGATTGTTAGGGAAATGTCAGGAAGTGAAAATAATCAACTTTTAAAATACATTCCCAATTCAGGTATTATCTAAAGAGTGTCAAAATTCAGGTTGCTCACTTCTTTGATCAGTATCCCATTTCAGTTAAACTTAAAAGGAAAAACTGTGACATAGAAGTATAAAATAATACTCACCAGAAAGGCAGCTTTATAGAGATGGTTTTAAGGAAAACCATTTCCACTGTATCTACGCCATTTCTTATACAGATTAAACTGTGAAAGGCAATGAAACTTAAGCCCTTAGGCAATTTTATATTAAAAAACAAGTGGATATCTTATAAAATATATTTTATTATCAGCTGATATATCGAGATTTTTAATTAAGTGCACGACTTTCATATAAAATAACATTAAGATGGTCTGTTTTCAGTGGCTAATCACCATCCCCATTTAATAGAATACAAGATCAGCTAGTTTTATGGACTGTTTCAAATTAGACATCATTACACTTAGGGCGTAGAGGAGGTAGCCATGCATCCTCATCAATGCTACAGAATGGAAGGATGGTTCAGGCTTGTATAAACCAAATTGTAAGCTTTATTCTTTTTTCCTTGGTATTTAAAATGTTTATCAACATAAAAGCATAATATTTAAAGGTTAAAGGAAAGGTCTCAAAGATGGTTGAAGAAAACAATGAATTCTGGTAGAACCAATGACAGTAATAAAACCCTTAACAGATCTTTTACAAGCCATTATACCCTCACTGCCCCTCAAAAGGAATACACAAGGAATCTGTCTAGGTTTCATGGTGGGTGGTCAGTTTTCATTTGAGTATTAAAAAGTCAGTTTTGTTATTCTTAATTCAAGGTAAAACGAGCCCACAATGGTGGTGCACCAACAAAATAGGTTATAGTTTACAAAAAAGATTAATAAAATTAGTACTATTTACAGCAAGAGTTACTAAAAACATTTAACAAAAAAGCAGTATGAAAACATTTTCTAGCTTATGACTACACACCATTTATCACTGCTAGAGGTGAGGAAACTTGACTTTCTTGGGTTGATTCATACTGTAAAAAGTTAAAAGGTAAAATATGAGTACCACCATGGGAGAGGCTTAAGTAAAAGAGCCTGGACCCAAAGCCCTGCACTCTGTTTTCAGATACCAACATGTGCATATAGCCAATCGAAACTTTCACTGTGTTTTCCTTTTATGTACAACAGATCTACTTAGGGTCAATCACAACCAGATAATAAAGGAGCAGTATTACACCTTTCTCACAACGGAGGTTAGCAAACCTAGCTACTTTGGCCCAAGTACTGAGTGTTTAAAAAGTGTCCAATGGATCTATTATTAGTTATACTCACATTTAAGTAACTGCACAGCTTTCTTCCTTGTGTGGGTTATATGGATATGTTTGAAAAAAATAGGAACATCAGGTACTTACAGATTAAACTAACCTGTACTGGCAGGGCTGTGGGATTTTTCTTCTCTACCAGTAAGTAGCAAATGCTGAAATTCTGCTGCTAGTTAACAAAAACACAAATTGTATTAAACTGAGGAGTTCAATCCAGTTTAAAAAGTCAATGTGCATTAAATTTCCTCAGAACCTGACATTAATACATTTTAAACTTTTTCCCTAAGTCTTACAAAAGTTACCTTGCATTGGCTCTTAAAGTGACCTTATGAGACTTAAAAACACTATCTCTTGGACACACCTACTTTTAATAAACTATGTATTCCAACATGTACATTATGTGGAAATTTTGGTTCCTCTAAAAAAAAGGGGGGGTGCATGTATCTGGGGGAAAAGGTAATTTCTAAATTTAAGTGTGTGCAGACATACTCCACAGAGGAAAGCAACTTTTAATAGTTTAAAATTCAATTTTCAAAACACTCGATTTTATCAGAGAGTTAAAACATGGACTGAAAAGTAAATCTGTTTCTCCTGGAAATACACTAATAAACTAATAACAAAAACAGAGGCTTTGCTCAATAAATATATGCCCCATACTATTCTAACTCAAACCTACAGAAACTTCAAGAACTTCCCTTGGCTCACTTGGGTGGTTAAGCAGCTTTATCAGTAGAGAAAGGAAATGATGCTGCAAATTTTATTTTCATCTGATTGCTCAAATATTTATGAACAAAATGTTAAGAGTAAGTTACATTATAATAAATGATTTGGTGAAACCTTAATCACAAACGCAAACCAGAAGCAGGAATGTTTTTACCTTTCACTACATTTAAGGTTCCTAAGCCTAACAACATTATATAATGACCTCTCTCTCAAATAATATTGGTCTGTGTGTAGTAAACTGGGGAAACGTCATTCTTCATTTTTATCCAAGTTGGGCATCAATAATTTCACTGCCAGCTCCTCAAATTTAACCAAAGGTGAAGGCATACAGATTCTTTATCTATAATGATGGTTTAAAAAAAAATCAACAACAAAAAAACCCCATAAAAACCCAGACACGGTAAGAATGCCAAAGGGCCGGGCGCCTGGGTGGCTCAGTTGGTTAGGCGACTGCCTTCGGCTCAGGTCATGATCCTGGAGTCCTGGGATCGAGTCCCGCGTCGGGCTCCCTGCTCGGCAGGGAGTCTGCCTCTCTCTCTGACCCTCCCCCCTCTCATGCTCTCTATCTCATTCTTTCTCTCAAATAAATAAAATCTTTAAATAAAAAAAAAAAAAAAAAGAATGCCAAAGGGTCAGGAGAATTCCAAAAAAGGCCTTCCCCCGCTCTATACAGCATTACACAAACCCCTGACCAAACACACAGCACACATTACTGAAGCTGTGCCGTAACACAACCTTACACAGCATTTAGAATGGATGGGGTCCAAGTTAGGTCCAAGTTATCAATCATTAAAATAATTTACTCACATGTATCTTCTCTGTAGTTAATTTGATCAAGATTAAAACATATATACAAACATATTCTAATATAGCTGATTATATGCCTCCTAAAAAACCTAACCATGAACAGTCTTGACTTATAATACAGGATTCAATTTGCTTCAAATAGTAATAGTTCAAATTAGCTTCAGTGAAGAGCTCCTTTAGGTCTTCAATTCCTGCCTTAATAGGACACTTCTACATCCTGCTTATTAGTAAAATAAAGATATTTCCCCTGAGGATACACAAGCTGAACTGAACAGATTTAAAGAGACAAGGTTTAAAAATTCAAATTAATATAGTTTCAAGCTATTATTTTTCCAGAGTTAGGAAAAAAATGAAAGGCTCTGCCCTTTATGGCCAAATTATTATACAAGAATGTATAGAGCTCAGCGCAGAAACAACAATTCTTATAAAAAGCAATTCTCTTCTGAGCTTTATTCATATTTTTTTAAAATGCTACTTTCAAACTTACTATTTCTCAACAAAAATACCAAGTAAGGACATGCATGAAGACACTGGGGAAAAGCTGGAGATATTTCAAGTATTAGGGAGCTCAAACTCAAGTCCCGCATTTCCTACTAGTTTGATTTAGATCCCATAATAGGGAATGCCTAACAGCAAGATATTAAAAGTATTGTTCTGAAAATTTAACATTAATCACAAAATTATGAATAATCACTATGTGCATAACACTATGTACAATATCATTAAAGTAACTGCTTCTCATTTTGCCAAGAAATATCACACAGAAGTTAGAGGATTTCTATGCTAGAAAAACAAAAAGTCATTTATTAAAATGATTCAGATGACAGAAAACAAAATATTGAGAAAGGGTTAAAAAAAAGTAACCTTCACTAATATTCAAGTCATGAGACAGTAAGCAGAAGTGTAACTAGGGGGAATGTTTACTTACAAAACTGCCTTAGAGTCAATAGTCTTATAAATGAATCCCTCCTTTTAGAAGAGTTTTCCATGAAAGTTACAGTACAAGAAAACCGACTTTGTTTTGGAATAACATACAAAGGTTACTTAATATCAGGGAGATAAATACTGCCTCTTTAAAAAGACATACCTAATTAACACAAAATTTTTATATTTTAAATACTACTTATCGCTAGCCAATACAAGTATCCGTTTACTCAAAACAAATTTTATCTCTGTAAAGTAACTAGTTCAACATTTCATTTACCAAGTATTACCAGTGGAAGGAATAGATACCTGAAAGTTATGTAACTCTCAAAACCATACTACTTCAGAGATATCAAGAAAATTAACTTCAACAAATTATGCCACCTTTAGAAAATCCCTCCAACACCCAGTAGTCAAGTATGTTAAGAGCCTATTTCAATTACTTCAACTATCACTATTAGAATTAAGACAAGCAGCCTCACTCTTGAATATTTCCCTAAACTGGGGGATGGTGGATGCAATAGAAAATAGCTCCAATTAAGGAGACTTAAAGAGGTGTCATTACCGAACAGGTTATAAATGTATTCTTTTGTTGTGACAAAATGTTTTTTCAAACGCTAAAATCTTTTTTCCATGATTCAGTTACAGAGAAAATCGTATGTTTTAATTGCACAGGTGAAAATTTGGAATTCACTTAATGTATATTTTTTCTTTATGCTTCCAAGAATTAAAACCATATAGAAAACATTATCCTGGGTTAGCTAAACACTGTATTATATGTTGTTACTGTTCAAAAGAAAATGCAATCTGGATAGAACAGATGTGTCGCTTAAACACAGGAAGGAACAAAAGTAATTCAGGTTTATGTTTTGGCCTCTCTTCCTTTTTTTACTCCTCACAACATACACACATAAACATGTTTCTCACCAAGTAAAAGCAAATTTTAGTTGGAATCAAACGTGGATACTTTTCATGTGTGCATATTGCATAAAACAATGTTCAGTACAGCTGAAGAAGAACCTCAAAAATGTTCCAAAACCACAACAATTCAATGTACTAAGTTTACCACGATTCAATTTCAGTTTGGCTACCTGAAAATTAGTAAATCTATCCATACTGACAGGTCTGTAATACCCAAACTCCTTTATTATCCTTTTATCAAATGTGTAGTGTATTCCGCATACATACCACACACACACCACCTTCCCACTCTTCACAAGGGCTCTACATTAACATTTGCTCTAATGTGGTGAAGTTTGTAAATATTAAAAAAATTACAAGCATTTCCACATGACCCTTCAACCTTAATGTTCAATGCATTACTTTGGGATTAAGAATGCAGATTTCAGTATCCTGTGGCATTTCCAATGATCAAACTTATCCATGAAGTTAAATTTAATAGTTTGAGGAGAAAATGACCAGTAACTTTTTCCTAAAAGTGAAAGTGGAAAATTTGACAAAACATTTCATGCCTCCAAATCAAGAACATCAAATTTTGTCAATTTACTAATAAAGATCAATATAGCAATACCAGCTTTACTGAGGCTGTTAACACAAAGTAAATTACATAAAATTACATAGATCAAATACTTTTTATGCTTATTAACACCACAGTCAAACGTGAATATTAATATAGAGCCTTCTCTGCCCAAAAGAGTATAAAAATCCTAAGTTTAATTAAATTTAGGGGCCTTCACCAAACTTGCTGCAAGTTTGGGGACATAAATATCCAACAGCCATAAAGCTGTGAAAGCCCCTATAAGGAATAAAATAAATCCCACTTGCCTCAGACTGAACAGGGCAACACTGAGACTCAGCCTCAGCCTGTCCTATGGCAGGGCTATAGGAAGAAGAAAATTTTGATTTTAGAAAAACATTACCCAATTAATTTAAAAGACATGCATTAAAAAAAAAAAAATCCCAATGATCAAGCAAGCAAAGGAAAAAAGAGCAGCTTTTTTAAAAAAACTATTGTCTGCTGTAATTCCACTCTGAACCCATACTTATTTTTGTTGGGGATCTCCCCCCAAATAACTAAGTTCAATTAGTTTAAGCTGAACTTGATCAGTGGAATACACTAGGAGTATTTTCCCCATTCCTAATGGTAAATGTGTGCGATTATTACTAAAATATAAGTATTCAAATTAAATGATAATTCCAGCAGTCACTCAAAAGTTGATCCTCACCTGCTGGTCTTGTCATACAGCAGGTAAAATCTGTATGTGATAGAAACTAGTGCCAGACAAAACGTTGTCACTTTTTTTTTTAAAAAAGATAACATAGGAGTGGACTAAGGGAGAGCCAAAGTCGGCAGTCCCATTAATCTTACAACTTCCTAAATTACGGCAATCACAATGCCTGCCTGAATATAGCAAGTCCTAAAGGATGTCTTCTGTGAGGGCAAACAGAAGTTTACTTCAACTCAACTCCATCTATTATTTTAAGGAAGCATAAGTCAAAGTAAGAGTTAATTATTTCAACATGGTTTGTTCCTCTCATGATTTAACCACACTATGGACCCCAGAAGCAGTTAGGTAAAAGGTATTTTCTAGAAGCTTAATTATGCTGATGCATGCACAAACAACTTTAAATATACCAAATGGGCACCACCTGAGCCATATACCTAACACAACAGGAGACGGTGTGCTTAAGAGTCATGCATAACACTTTGGATTAACTTTTTAATTAAAATTAAAATTCTACAACTTTTTAAAAGTAGTATTTTCTCCCTTCAGACTTCAGAAAACAACAAACCTTGATATAAAATATGTTATCTTTGCATTAAATGTAAATAAGCTTTGCATAAGTTCTGAAACATTACTAACCCGTTTGTATTTTGTTGATAAGCCTGTACATGAAATGCTAGAAGGACATTTGGTTTGGGAAAACATTTCCTATTTAATCGTTCTAAATTTAATCATGCCATTTTTACCTTACAGATTTTCAACACAGGCTCTTCTTTGGCAGTCTGATAAATGTGCTGCCAAATCTAAATATATGTTAATTCCAAAACTACTTAGTAGGCAGGTGTTTGGTGAGGGAAAGGGTAGCGGTACGGGGCTTAGCCACTGGCAGAAGGAAACGCGTTCTTGGTGATACACAGATGTTGCCTTTTCAAACTATGGAGTTTTTTGAACCTCAATGGTATAAGAAAAGAGCTATAAAACATTTCACTGGAGCAAAATATCCGATTTAAAACAGCACTCAGCTTTGTAAATATTTGTATGTTTTGTTTAAATGAATGACTTTTACTTGTCACCTAAATACAGACTCTTTTATGATGATTAGAAGTTTTCAAAGACAAAAACTCAGATTTCATGTCATATCTACACCTTCACATATAGCTTATAAAAAATTATCACCATTTTCTTACAAGTCTTTATGTTGAGAAAAACTCAACTTGAGTTCATTATATTATGCTTTGTACAAATCATTTGATACTTAAATAATCATAAAAGTACCTTGCAAAAATAAAGATCGAAAAAATGGGTACCAAAAAAGGTCAACAAGAGCTATTATTGTAGGAGACTTGCAACACAAGATACTAATAGCAGTGTCACCTCTACAGAAAACTACTTCACAGGACACAGTAACATTCAAATTTCCAAGAATGAAAAGGTTAACAGGAAAGCCATTTAGGCTTTATAATAACAAAAGATAGCCATCTTAATCAAAGAAATAATGTAATTTTCCAGGAACATAATAAATTTTGAATCCATCTGTTAACTGTCCTAACAGAGGCACATTTAGATTATTTTGGTGTAATTACACTTAGAAAAGATTCCAATCCATTAACAGCAAAAAGCTATTACTGCATGCACCTAAGCTTCTAGAAGTCTGCACCTGAAAAGCTTCTGAGGTCCACGCAGTACTGCAGTCTCAAAAATAATCAGAAGGAAATGAGTGGGTCTGGCACTAGGCTCTAAACTTCATCAGTAGGAGAGGGCATACTAAGGTTTACATTTTAAGTATCTACGACATCTAACATGTAGTGACACCAAGGGCGTGGAAAGGTGACACAATATAAAGATTTCATACCCACTATGTAATGACTCGTATGTATCTAAGTTTTTCTGTCAACTTAAGCACTAACATACAATTCTATATATATTGTCCAGTTTAAAACATGCAGCTAAGGAACAACCTACAATTCAAAGACAGAATCCAATGATATATCAAAACTGTATTGGTAACTATGAATTTTATTATGTGGACATCTACTGTGGCATGCATCTGTACAAACCTTTCAGGCAGTGGTCCACAGCTGGGTTATGAATAAAAAGGCATAAGTTTTTCTCTCATTTTATTACAATGAAGTTTAACAGTACAGAAAAGTCACATGACCTTGGTGGGTCAGATTTCTTAAACCCTGCAACATGAGGAACTCTAAATACATTAAATATTGTTATACATTCAGACTTCCAATGTACAGGTCTCGGAAACAGTTACAGCCCTCACCAAGCTAGGTTGGGGACATGAAGTCCAACAGCATCTGAAATGCTGTGAAGGCATAACTTTACAAATAGCAATGTAAGCTTACAGAACTTGCCTTTATTAAGGTGGTATGTTCATGTAATTCCAGCGCCTTCACAATATAACGAACCAAATTTACTATACTTCACTTCTAAAAACCTAGATGAAACATGAAAAAGAAGCCATACAGTATAAATTGCAACTTCAGGAAAAGTTCCTGCTTTATTATTCCAAATAATTTTTCCCATGTAAAATAAATGTCCAATAGTTCCTGGTATGTGGGAAGATAATGTTTGTTAAAGTCACAATGAAGCCTTATTGACGGAAGCTTGGCTATATAAACAGCACAAGTTGAGAAAAGGTTTAATCTCCAAACCTATTAGATTGGATGAAGTAAGATCAGTAACGGCCACCTTGCGACATTACAGGAGGTCTCATTCCCATCGGAGGTCGAGGAGGCCCACCTTGATAAGGGGGCACCATCGGCGGTCCCTGCCCATAAGGTGGCATAGCACCAGGAAGGTAACCTGGCATGCCTTGATGATGACCACCATACTGACCTAAAAAACACATTTAAAACACAAAAAATAAATTGAGTTGGTCTGTGCGTTATACTTTGAAATGCAATGTATTTTACAGATAAATTTATGTGTATACTCAGAAAATCCACTAAATACAATAAACAAATACAGTAAACATAAAAAGTAATACCATGAGGCGGCATTGGGGGTCTCATTCCTTGTTGCTGTGGGATGCCTGGCTGTGGTGGCATCATACCTCCAATAGGTCCAACTGGTGGATTACCAATGGGAGCCTGTCCTGGTCGAGGAAGATTACGTTGATATTTAGGTAACTGTGCCCTTCTCTCTTCCTACAAATAAAAATGAACACAATGTTAAACATTTGAATGCAGAGAGCAGTCATTAAGCATAAAAGACAAACATCCAAAATCTTAGAGTAACTTTTTAAAAATGTACCCTTACTTCCCAACCACAATTTTTGCTCCACGAACCAGTCCAACTGCTTAAAATCTCAATGCCTCAAGAAAACCTCACCTATTTTTATATTTGAAAAATGGCTAATAACTTCCCAGGAATTATACACTGCCTCAGCAACAAAGTGTCTAGTGAAGAAAGTCGCTTCAAAGGATCTGTATATTCTACCTCACCACTTAACTGTTTCATCATTTACAAATTTATGTGTAACCAAAATGATTTTTGAGAGTTAAGAACCCAACTTACTGTCTTCTTTTAAACACAATCTGGGAGTAGGGGAAAGAGTGTGTCTAAGATCAAAACACGCAATATTCCCTTTATTTTGTGGTTCTTAATAATCAGAATAAAAACCACACAGTAAGCATTAGATCAGATTATAAGACCACTGGTGTACAAATTAATACTTTAAGAGGAAAAGTTACTACAACGGTATTCAAACTACGCTAATAAAAACCTGTAAAGAACTTACCAGTGATATATCCTCATCTGGGTGGATCAACTTACTGGTTGCACTGGTTGTTGTAAGTGTAGCAGGCTTACTTGTTATTGAAGCCGCTGGTTTAGCTGCAGTGCTATTTGTTGTACTAGTAGTTGAAGCTGTAGACTGTGTATAAGCAGGGAATGTAGGCTTTGGGGGTTCTGTAGTTGTTGCAGGGGTACTATTTAAGGGCTTGAAATCTGTACCAACAGGTCCTTGGACAGCTGCCTGAGCCTGGAAAACACAATCTTTCATTAAGGAAACTTCAAAAGCCAAAACTGAATATATCTATTATAATTAACTTAAAAGTGAGATACCAACATTCAATAAAGGACCAAACTTTCAATGAAATTAAAACAAAGTTAACATAACTAAAACTCCACAAAAAATCAAGATGATACACAAGAATATCAAAAGATGCTGGGTCAAAGTCACATCCAAAACTCAGCAGTGGAAACAAAGACTGCATATGTAACTTCTAAGATGTTATCTACCTTCTCACCAAAACTTACTTGCTTTACAAAGCTTTGTAGTTATTTCAGACTGATGAATTACACTGTATCAGAATAGCATGTTCTACGTTTACTATTCTAAATTAGTTGTTTAATCAATCTACCAAAGCACCTCAAAAAAAAAAAAAGGTTAGAAATTACAAAATACAAATGTTGGATAAATTTTAGTTACTAAGCATAGCATGAATAGTATCAGTGGTGGCACTTTAAAGGTGTCCCTTCAGAGATATCTTTATATAGATAATACAATGTCCTCCCAATTAACAATGGCTAGATGATTATCATGGACAAAAGGGCTTAGTAGGATCTTTTAAGCGTAAAGTTACCAGTAATAGTAATATATGTGTTACTTTTCATAATACCAAACATCTGAAACATGAAAACTAGGCCAACTTTAGAACCAAATGCAAAGTACTAAATTTCCTTACATTATATGTGATGCATTAAACAGCATAAATCAAAAAAGCTTAATCATGCATCAGGCTAACCATTGGCCACTATAATGCATTTACTGCTTACATGCTTTTAACCCTTTAGAACCATAGGAGTTTGGGGTACATTTTTTTCTATTAGTATGAGTTCAAATTTTCAAATACCATTGATTTTTATACCATTAACTTTAAAAAAAATTAAACATAGTGTATTTTTTGGGAAAAGATTTAGTTTTAAAGTAGGGTCCAAAGGGTTAAGTTTATAAAGCCATTTTAACAACTTTAAACTGCAACTTCCTGCGTACTTGTGCTGTGCTAGGAAACAGAGCTTTAGAAGATGCAGACAGACTTTCTGAATTGGATGAAGCTGTACTTGAGCTTGTTACAGGTGTCCCCATCTGTAGCATAAAAGAAAGGAAACAATGAAAAGTCTCCAAACAAATGGGTGAAAATAAGCCATGTGGTAGACTTTTTTTTTAGTATAGATTGCATTTTTATAAATGCAAAATATAATGCAATCAAATCTGATTTATTTAAAGAGGCAGGCAGTTGATGCATTTACAATAAACAAAGTGACAGTATGAGCCTCAAAAAAAATCTTTAATTCTACACCAATAAACCTAGTTAACCAGTTTCTTTTCTAAAACTGGATGTGCTTTTGCACTGTGATTTTCCAAAAATGATATGTTAATTGAGAATAAAGATGCATTACTACTGACACTTCAATCCAATTCTCTATCAATGACTCCACAAGATTTTTGCCAAAAGTTTGACATCTCTCAATAAACAAAATCCCCACCCACCTCAAAAACATAAGATATGTGCTTACAGAGGACTTAAAAAGTAACTTTTAATTTAGCAACCATAAACAGAAAAAAATTGAGAAAACAAAACTTCTATGGAATAATGTTAAAGTGAAAAAAAGAATACACATCCTGATCTTAATTCTGAATGAATTACATACATCTGTTTAATTTTGAATATAACTGGGAAAAAATAGCAAAAGTAAACAACCATTATACACATACGATATATATAACAAAAGCATCTTTAGCTTCTGAGTTCTGAAAAAAGACAAGTTCAGTAGGAAAGATTAAGTCTAGGTCAAATGATGTCCTTCCTGCAAAAGTGTAGCATTGTCATTTGTCACTGTTCTAGATTAAAGAGTCCAACGTTTCATTCCACTCACAGTAAAGGCGGTAAAAGAGGACCTCTAAACATTATCATGTATTTAAGTCCCCAGAAATTAAACTTTCATTTCTAACCAGAGTTCACAGCTATGAAAAAAATAACATACTATCTGGCTCTAGTCAATGTGTGCAAACATGCAAGAGAATAGGACACTTCTTTGTATTTAATAAATTATATTAAAAAAATTATAAACAAAAAATTGACCTATGACAATTTCAAGGATTTCTATAAACAACTACACTTTACCTTTAAATATAAGTGCACTCCTTTTCAGGAATTTCACCTTACCTGTCCAGCACTGGGGAAAAGAGGCTTAGTAACTGGAGGCTGTGGAGCAGGAACTGTTGCTGTTGGTGCAGGTGGTCTATTAAGAATGCCTGGTGCTGAAACAGCCTGCGCTTGAGTCATTGGAGGAATTCCAGGACGGGGAACAGGAGGGGGCATACCTATAGAGAAGAAATGTTGGGAGGATTGGGGGGGGGGGGGGAGGTGTTGAAACATTTAGCTCAGAAAAAATTTTTCCCAAAACTGTTAAAATATACTGTATTAAAAATGCTTCTAGGGGCTCCTTAGGTGGCTCAGTTGGTTGGGCCTCTGACTCTTGATTTCTATTCAGATCATGGGATCAAGCCCCACATCAGGCTCCATGCTGGGTATGGAGACTGCTTAAGATTCTCTCTCCCTCTCTCTCTGCATCCCCCCACTCACATGCTCTCTTTAAAAAAAAATAAAAATAAAAAATAAGGGGCGCTTGGGTGGCGCAGTCATTAAGCGTCTGCCTTCGGCTCAGGTCATGATCCCAGGGTCCTGGGATCGAGCCCCGCATCGGGCTCCCTGCTTGGCAGGAAGCCTGCTTCTCCCTCTCCCACTCCCTGTTTGTGTTCCCTCTCTCGCTGTGTCTCTGTCAAATAAATAAAATCTTTAAAAAAATAAAAATAAAAAACAAAATAAAGGGGCGCCTGGGCGGCTCAGTCAGTTAAGCGTCTGCCTTCAGCTCAGGTCCTGATCTCAGGGTCCTTGGGATTGAGACCCGAGTCAGGCTCCCTGCTCACCAGGGTGTCTGCTTCTCCCTCCCTTCCTCCCTGCTTGCGTGCACGCTCTCTCTCAAATAAATCAATAAAATCTTGAAAAACAAAAATAAATAAATAATGCTTCTATGCTACAAAGTTACTGATGAACTGTTCAATTCAATGAAGTCCAAATAACTTAGGCATTTGCCCATTGGAACAATCTTGCCTCAACCTTTCTATTCCTTTGTGTATTTTCAGAATTTTGGGAAGTGAAAGATACCACTAGAGAGTCTATATATGGGGAAAACAGCAATTAAGCTTACCAATTTTAGTGACTGGCAAACTTTTTGAAACACGTAGTGAATTAGAGCAATCTTCCAGCAGCTGGACGCTCTCTGAACTCTAATTCAAATTACTGTAAAAACTTTGATACATCATATACCCATAAAAATTTTTCCAGGGGCGCCTGGGTGGCTCAGTTGGTTAAGCATCTGCCTTGGGCTCAGGTCATGATCCCAGGGTCCTGGGATCAAGTCCCGCATCGGGCTCCCTGCTCGGTGGGAGTCTGCTTCTCCCTCTCCTCCCCGATCATTCTCTCTCACTCTCTCTCTAACAAATGAATAAAATCTTAAAAATTTTTTTTCCAGAAAACTAAGTTATTCCTGTAAACACTTTAAAGATTGTATTTTTTTTTTTTTTTTTTTAGATTTTACTTATTTATTTGACAGAGACAGAGCAAGAGAGGGAACACAAGCAGGGTAAGTGGGAGAGGGAGAAGCATCAAGGAGCCTGGTGTGGGGCTCAATCCCACGACCCTGGGATCATGACCTGAGCCAAAGGCAGATGCTTAATGACTGAGCCACCCAGGCGCCCCTAAAGATTGTATTTTTCTTAAGTAAACTCTACACCCAACATGGGGCTCAAACTTAAAACCTGAGATCAAAGGTTGCATGCTCTACAGGCTGAGCCAGCCAGGCGCCCCTCCTTTAAGCACTTGAAATAAATTTTCCTAAAATCCATCACTAATGCATTCTTCAAACTTCCTCAACATTACTTTGCCTAAAATTATCTCAGAACATAACATATGTGGAGCTACTGCCTATAAATAAATGGTTGCACCGGCAATGATGCAAATTTTACTGCTGCCTTACTTTAATGTGGAAAACCCCACGTTATAGGCTACAAAGTCAAGACAGGGTTTTGTTTTGTTTTTTTACGACTCCCTTGCAGCTAGAGGGTCCATTAGAACAGTTTCTAGCCAACAACAGGAGGCTAGGAAGCTTTTGGGAGAGTTACTTTGCTCCCTAATGGGAAAAAAAAAAGAACACTTTGCTGTTGACACTCTTTGTTGCCTGCATTATCTTCTAACAACTGAGTGATGTGTCTGAGGGAGAAAAGCTAAGGCTAGCAAAGAAGAAAATTTAAAAACACATGGGTTCTTGACATTACCAGCCACTGAGGCTACCACTTTTCTTTCTGTTGAGTAAGACAATAAACGCCTACATTTTTAAATATGGTTTGATGGGTTTCTCCATTACTTGCCAAAAGAGTCTCCATTACTCACCTAAAATATTCCTAACAAATACAACCCCTCAGGGTGCCTGGGTGGCTCAGTTGGTTAAACATCTGCCTTCAGCTCAGGTCATGATCCCAGGGTCCTGGAATCGAGCCCAGCGTTGGGCTCCCAGCTTGGCAAGGAATCTGCTTCTCCCTCTCCCTGTGCTGCTCCCCGTGCTTATGCTCTCTCTCTCTCTCAAATGAATAAATAAAATCTTTAAAACAACAAACCCACAAATACAATTCCTCTTAGGTACATGAGCTTTGGTGCATAGGTTCTGTAACTCATTTTGACTGCTTTGAAACCTGTTTATTACCTATTTCAGAACTCAAAAAAAAAACCCCACAGTCCATTCCGACACTTCAAGTAATTTAAAAAAGAATTCAGCAACCTACGGAAATTATACATTACAATTGCACTAAAATCCACAAACCTATTGTCCAAAATAGATAAGAATAAAGCATGCCAGTCACATTAAAAAGGAAATTATCTAATGTTTCATACCTGGTGGCATACCAGGCATCAGAGGTGGTATTCCTGGTCCAGGTGGCATCATTCCACCCATTGGCATCATTCTATTGGAAAGCAAATTTCAAGAAACAAACCAAGTTAATGAACAGTATAAACCATTAGAAATATTTTGGCTAAAGCCTGAAACAACAGATAAAAGACTTGAATTTGACCCCTAATATTGAAATCAATCAACCTGAAAGAACACACAACACTAAAACAATTCTATCAAAATAAGCTCTCTAAATATCAGCAAACTCTTGGGTTTACTAGTAAAATAAAGAAAAAAAAATCAGTCTTTGTTGACAAAACATTTTCATAAATTTAAAGTCACTAAAAACAATTATACCCTCCTTAATATGAGAGGCCTCATCTAAAATATGTGTAATTGGAAATCAAAATCACCTTCTGTCTCACTTGAAAATATCCACACAAAATGTAAATAAAAAAGAAAAACTATTTCAGAATCATCAGATTTTTCAAAAGGAAAGTACTGAATACACACTGTGGAGTAAAGATTTTTTTTGGAGGGTTACCAAAAAAAAAAAAAAACCACTACCACCAAAATTAAAGACAGTCAAAAGTAAACTCACACAATTGCCTAATTTCTATTTGTAATAGCTACCTTGCACTAAACCATGACTTAAAAACATAACCCGTATTTATTTTCCTTCCCCTAAAAGAGCTCACCTTCAAATATCAGTGTCCAATTCACTTAAAACAGTTAAAAGTTTGTGAATTCTTAACTGAGGACTTTATCAAAAGATAAACTTCTACATATATATATGTATATATATAGTTTTCATTACAAGAAAACCGAATTACCTTCTATAAATAATAAAGCATGTAATTTGGCAAAAGAATATCTATTCTTTCTTAAATAACCTTTTTACTAAATTCCATTACTTTAGCAGTTTGGGGAAAAACAGCTGCATTTAGAAAATGCTTTATTTATATGGGTCTATTATAATTTCCTCACAGATGTTTTATTTCCCTCCATTAAGAGATCTGTGTCAACCAGCTTGCACATTTTAGAAGTTTTAGTGAGGAAGGTTAGAAAATTTCTGAAGTCAACTGAATAGATACCATTAAACACACAAAAAAATGACATTATGATTATACCTCCTGAATTACATTATGAATGAGATGCTTACATGTTTTCACCGCAAAATGACTGGGTGTATTTTCTCTGATGATGCAATCTGTGAAAATGTATGACAAAATCAAAATCTAACTGTGATTTTCAAAATACAGTGGGAAAGTGTACTGTATACCTCTCACATCCAACAATATTTAAGTAAAAGTGATAGGCACGAGCACCTCATATCCATTTTAGTTCTTGAGGATTTGACAAATAAAATCATTTACAGAGTTTGCTTCTTGTCACAACTACAAAGTGTCATGGACAGTTCTGAATCTCAGAAACACCAATCTATAACCAACTACTTTAATTACATCAGATGCAATTGAAGCAGATGGCTGCCTACAGACATCCTAAAGCCCAAAAATCTATTCTCTTCAGAGGCAAATTTATATTCATTTAATTTGTTGGTAGACCCCTTTATTAGACAAGTTTAATATTTATGGAGCCCATACCTTTTAGAAGGAAAAAAAAAGGCAAAGTAACATTTTAAAATTCATATAACACCCAAGTTGAAAAAGATCATTACTAGGCACAAGCCCACAAGTCAATTAAAAGTTCTCTTACCCAGGTGGCATGCCTGGCATTACTGGTGGCATTCCTGGCATCAGAGGAGGAACACCTGGCATTAATGGAGGTATGCCTGTAAGAATTTCAACAACAACCACAAAATATATTAGAGTAAGAGAAAATTTTAATACTTTTACACCGTATCAATAAAGTCCTTAAAATGTTAAATTTTAAGAAACCTTATGTAATACCTGGAGGCATTCCTGGTGCTCCCGGAACTGGTGGCAGTCCTGGCTGTGCCATTGGGGGGATATAACCTTGTTGAGGTTGAACAGGCTGTGGCTGAAATGAAGTTGAAGCTGCAGAGTCATCATCATCATATTCATCAGAATCATCTTGTTGCTTCTTTTTTTGACTCTCTGCTAAAAAAGTTTTAATTAGTTTTTCCCATAAAGTAAAAAAAAAACTCAGCAAGTTGGACATTCAACATTTAAAAAAAACGATTTCAGGGCGCCTGGGTGGCTCAGTCGTTAAACGTCTGCCTTCATCTCAGGTCATGATCACAGGGTCCTGAGATCGAGCCTCGCATTGGGCTCCCTGTTCAGCAGGGAGTCTGCTTCTCCCTCTCCCTCTGCCCCTCCTGCTTACTCTCTCTCAAATAAATAAATAAAATCTTTAAAAAATAATGATTATTTCAGTGCAATTAGCTCAGGAGATTTTTCTTACAAAAAAAATCAGTCAATACTGTTCTTTTTAAATAAATAAAATCTTTAAAAAAAATTTTAAAAAAAAGCGGGGCGCCTGGGTGGCTCAGTCGTTAAGCGTCTGCCTTCAGCTCAGGTCATGGTCCCAGGGTCCTGGGATCAAGCCCCGCATCGGGCTCCCTGCTCACCAGGAAACCTGCTTCTCCCTCTCCCACTCCCCCTGCTTGTATTCCTGCTCTCGCTGTCTCTCTCTCTCTCTGTCAAATAAATAAATAAAATCTTTAAAAAAAAAAAATACTGTTCTTTTTACTCTTCAAATGGGTTTTCAATCTATATTAAGCCAAGATTAACATACTTTCCCTATTTTATGACAGATAAAAGTAATTTTCCTAAGTCAGTTTTATTTTAAAAAATAGCTTTCTATTCCATCCCAAAAGGTAAACTATGACAAAGAGATCTGACCTCTCTGCAATGCTTTTCAAAGCAGAATTTTCAGGGCACCTGGCTGGCTCAGTCGGTAGAGCATGTGACTCCAGATCTTGGGGTCTTGAGTTCACGCTCCACATTGGGTGTAGAGCTTACTTAAAAAAAAAAAAAAAAATTGGGGGGCACCTGAGTGGCTCAGTCGGTTAAGTGGCTGCCTTTGTTTGGGTCATGATCCCAGGGTCTTGGGATCGAGCCCCACGCAAGGCTCCTTGCTTCTCCCTCTCCCTCCTGCTATACCTACTTGTGCTCTGTCAAGTAAATAAATAAAATCTTTAAGAAAAATCTCATGGGGCGCCTGTGTGGTGGCTCAGTCAGTTGAGTGTCTGACTCTTGATTTCAGCTTAGGTGATGATCCCAGGGTCCTGGGATTGAGCCCTAGGTCTAGGCTCCCCACTCACTGCGGAGTCCGCTTGAGAGTCTCTCTCCCTCTGCCCCTCCCCGCCAAGCTCGCTTGTTCACTCCCTCTCAAAAAATAAAAAAATAAACCCTAAGAACATAAAATAAAATAAAGGGGTGCCTGGGTGGCTCAGTCGGTTAAGCATCCAACTCTTGGTTTCAGCTCAGGTCATGATCTCAGGGTTGTGAGACTGAGCCTGGGCTCAGCGCAGAGTCTGCTTGAGATTCTCTATTTTCCCCCCTACCCCCCATCGCTTGAACGTGCTCTCACAGTAAATAAAATCTTAAAAAGAAAAAAATTTGATAGGTGATTAATAACTTCTACCATCTGGATAGTGATCGCAAATTCCAAGTCAAATAACAGCACTAAAAAAAATTTTTACTGTTAGTGGTTATACAATTAAATCAAAACAAGCACCCTTCATTTTCAAAAACCTCAACACTTGCTAATTCCACTTAGAACTCAGTTAGGAACAAAACATAATAAAGTGTTTGGAATGATCCACGTGGTATTACATATACACAAATTAAATATACAACTTCAAACATTAAAAGACATAAAAACAACACTCAAAATTGGAATTTTGAATAAATCTAACATCCACTATTTAATTTATACGTCAAAAGTATTATAATACTCTCATCAGTGAAGCTGTATTAAGAAAAAGCATAGATCTTAATATTTACCTTGTGTTTTCTGTTCAAGAAGTCGTCTTCTTTCATCCATGTCTTTTTCTGGAATTCCTTCCATACCATATATTTCCAATTCTATGTCTGTTCTCCCAGGTATTGCATTTGGTACAGCATCTATTGTCTCTTTATGCACCTAACATTAAAATAAACTTCCATTAGATAGACTAAAGTGCCTCATAAAGTCCTTTAAGAGTAATTTGAAATTACCTAGGGAACACTTAGTATAATGGTTAAGAATATTTGGTTCTAGTGAGACTGTCGGGATTCAATCCTTCCTCAGTTTTGCTGCTTACTAACTAGGTATGTATATTAGGCAAATCATTTAAGATTACTCCACCCATAATACCTAACAACTAGGATCATTCTAAGGATTAAATAAAATATAAGGAATATAATAAGCACTTGGTAGTATGTCTAACACATAGTAAGGGCTCAATAAACATTAATTCAAGTTTACTATAAAACTTATGAAACATGGGGCGCCTGGGTGGCTCAGTCGGTTGAGCAACTGCCTTCGGCTCAGGTCACGGTCCTGGAGTCCCAGGATCGAGTCCCGCATCGGGCTCCCTGCTCGGCAGGGAGTCTGCTTCTCCCTCTGACCCTCCTCCCTCTCATGCTCTCTGTCT